ACAGTAATTCTGGCAAGTCTCCCTGCTCTAAAATAATGCTTAATAAAATGAAATTTGAGCCAAGACCTTCTAGGTTGAAGTCCATTACACTAGCTAATGTCCTGACCATCATGCTTTCAGTCAGCAGATTTATTACATTGCAATCATACCGAAAAGTTAGTCTTTAAAAGAAAAGAGTATCCCCCGCTACCCAAGCTTGTTATATTTTGAATCTGATGTATGCCTTTATGTAATTTTTATCCCTAATTAACTCCCTATCTCTTTAGATGTAGTTCAGTGTTTCGAGTTAATTATTTATCATCTCATTTCTGACACACAGAATAGCAGAGGGAACATTTTAAGTAAAATATCAAAGAGATGTCCTTTGCCAGGCAGGTTTAGTGAAAGCCTAGTGTATCTTAAAATTTTCAACATGAACAACAGTTTGTGAACAAAAAGATCCCACAGTAACAAATCAGTCACTTACACACTTACACCTGTTTATTAAATATCAGGCATGCAATATCCTTTAGGCATGCAAGGAAATCATTTTAGCTTCCATTGTACAAGAAATGAAGGAAGGAGACTCTTAATAGTTGTTTGTTACCTAGACTGACCACAGAAGAGTGAATTTTGTACTTGCTCTGATTAGTGCAGCTACAGCATTTAAATGCAGAGTTTGGCATTAAGTCTTATTTACTCTTCTACACTATTGATATGTAATGTTTATACCAAATGCCACAGAAGTCAAATTATTAAACCTAAGCTCAATACTTTTTCTATGCTACCCCATGTATGAACAAGACAGCAGTTTTCTAAATTATGTACTGGGAAATGATATACACATCACACAGTCCTAGATGAAATGAAACTAGGCTGTTATTTACCTAAATGTTACTCACCCAAGTGTAACTAGTTCTCATTCAGAGAAAGATAGGTTATAAAATTAAATAAACAATAATTATTTGTTGCCAATTAGTTATAATTAACAGAAGAAAAAAATAAATGAATCGCTTATATAATCATGTTTTGCAAATTAATACAGATTAAGATAAAACAATTACAGTAGAATGACAAGCATATGCCTCTTCACCCTCTCCAGCTATCACTGTTTCTTCACCTCTTTCTGACCCTCTTCCATCCTGATCATGACACTATTAGGAGAAAAAAAGAACTACAACATGTGAACTCATTGTGATGTGGCCTACAAATATTTACTCCTCCTCTTATTGAGAAAATACAGTGGTGCCTTGCATTACGATATTAATTCGTTCCAGCAAAATCGCTGTAGAATGAAAACGTCGTAAAGCGAAAATTAAAAAGCCATTGAAACGCATTAAAACCTGGTAATTGGCTAAGAACTCACCATCCAGCGAAGATCCTCCATAGGGGTGGCCATTTTCGGGTGCCTGTGCAGCGAAAAAAGGCTCCTAAACACAGTGGGGAGCCATTTTGAGCACCCGGCAGCCATTTTGAAAACCCGACAATCAGCTGTTTTGATTGCAAAAACCTCGTCGTAATGTGGATTAGTTGTTAAACGGAGCACTCATCTTGCGAGGCACCACTGTAATTAAATACTCTGCAACTGACAAATAACTCACTTTAACTGAAACACATGAAAATGTTGGTTTTATTGTGTCTGATAATAAAACACACTAGGGCAGGCCTATTATATCAATGAGGATTGAATGAGTCAACTCCAACTGCAATTTACTAAAGTAAGGTGCAGTTAGAGTGGGCACATATGAATCAATGGAATTTCCACAGGTGACTCACCAGATCCCCAGTTTTAATTAATTTACTCTAGAGGAATTTACTGTGCTAAGCAACAGGATTTTAGCTATAATTGAGCCTCAGTGTTTCCATATGTACAGTGGTGCCCCGCTTGACGATTACCTCATTAGACGAGGAAATCACTTAATGATGAGTATTTTGCGATCGCTATAGCGATCACAAAATGATGTTTGTATGGGTTTTTTTTCTTCAACAACGATCAGTTCCCTGCTTCGGGAACCGATTTTTCGCTTAACGACGAACAAAACAGCTGACTGTCGGGTTTTCAAAATGGCCACCCGCTGTGCAAAATGGCTCCCCACTGTGTTTTAGGACGTATTCCTCGCTATACAGGCACCGGAAAATGGCCGCCCTATGGAGGATCTTCGCTGGACACTGAGGTATTTCGCCCATTGGAACGCATTGAACCGGTTTGCAATGCATTTCAATGGGTTTTTTACTTTCGCTTGACGACGATTTCGTTCTACAGCGATTTTGCTGGAACGGATTATCCTAGTCAAGCGAGGCACCACTGTATTCCTGTTCTCTTCCAGTGTGCCTGGTGATCGGAAGAAGGGAACCTTAGATGGGTGTTGCCTGTTGACACAGAGACAACAGACAACATCTGGTCTGCCTGAATCATATGGTTACAACATATGCTAAGAAGCAGAGGAGTGAGACTGGAAAGAGGCAAGACCAGAGCAGGGAAACATGAAGTGGCCACAAACTTGTTTGTGGATATGTATGCATCTCTGTATTTCTGCTCACAAAAGCCTTCAATTATCAGCTTAATGTATTTCTTAAACCATACTGATTAAGTCTCTTATGCCACACTATCATGTTCCAGCACTTAAGCAGCAGATCGTACTAGTGGTAGCTATGGTCTAAACTGAGGGAGGCTTACAGCACCATTTCAGAGTGGAGTGCCCCATGCTCTTATGGTCATGAGCCAATTATATCCTCCTGAAGTAACAGACATATTTCCCCAACATGTGAAATGCTGAAGATTTCATTTGGTTTTATGTGCACTTAATAGTCTGGACTGTATTTAGGCAATATACTCTTCCTCTTGCGTCCAGCAACTGGCATTCTAGCTGTCAATTGTATTTGTTGTATTTTTCTGTTGTATTATTAAATAGGCTGTTTTTTTTAGCTGCTAATCTCTTTTAGCCATTTCCCCCATCAGACTCTGCTGACTGCTTTTATTTCATTTTCTGGCTCACTGAACTCATTCCTGCTTGTCTGAACCAATTTCAGAGGTGGTTCCTGACATGGCCATCTTCCTTCCTGGAAACCAATTAGAGTCCATGGGTTCATCAGCACACTGAAATGGATTGAACAAAATAAACTTGGGCTTAAATGGAAAAGTATTAAGGTTAGTAAAATGTTACTGCAAGCAAAAGAAAACTTCAAAGCACGAAATATGGCCTGCAATGAAAAATTTAGTCTAATGCTTCTGAAACTGAGATATATATCCAAGATCCAAAATAATTCTGTAGATAGGATGGAAAGGAAGAATTATGACCACATGTCTTTTTATCCAGCAAGTTAATCAACCAAAGTCTGTGTTTATACAGGACAATTATTGAATATAGAAGTGCAATAGTTTAATCATTCTTCCTTGACCATGGGTAACTATACAATGGATAAGTGAATTGAAAAAAAGTCTAGGGAGAACAGAAACACTTTCTCAAAGACATGCAGAGTTAAGATAGTCATTGCACAGGCTAAGGAGGCCATCAGTTATTAATTTGCACATATGCAAATAATAGTTAGATTCCACTTCTACATCTTTTTGTGTCTGAAGGCTTCTGAAGTACAGTAATTAAAATAATGGGAGTGCTCCTGAGTAATCTTGCATTAACTTTCACTGTAATTTATCATGTTAATTGGCAGAAGTGTAGAAACTGTTGAGGAACTGAGAAAGCTATATGCTGTTAAAAAGAAACTGCACAGAACCTACCGTTTATGAGTGTTAGACTAAACACCTTAAAGAAAAATCCCCGTAGTTATGTACAATGCAAGATCAGTGAAAACAAAATGCTGGGTAATGAATTGAATGTGGACCATATTCTCAAAGATAAACTGTCTATAGTTAACACTGTTCAATAAGACTTGTGTACCACCTGCTGTCCTTCCAAAGGTGCAGCCACCTGCCTTTCAAAGAGCCTTCTCAGAATTCTGAGAAATGGCAATATCCATGGCAAACTAACAATGATCATTTTGCTTTTGTAAGAATTCTTAGATTTTAAAATTACAGTATTTCTGCCAAACGCAGTGTGCACCAACCATGGATCTGACTTCATTAAAAAGAAACCTGCTGAGATCTAATTTGAAAGAACTGTGGACCTTGACTACATCCTGGAAGCATACATTTTAGGATATTAAAACAACAACCCACAACCCAGATGAAATAGAGTGAGGATAACAAAAAAGAAAAGAAAAGAACTGGATTGTTTGTTCATTTCAGAGAAAATTCAATTGGTTCTAAAACTGTCAGTACTGCATGTGGGTCAGTTTCCACCTCATCCCACCAGCTGAACATTGACCTAGGGCAAGAAAAGCTAGTTCAGAAACACTTCTTTTCATCCCAGCCTGTCTATCACATACAGGTTTGAAAGATGGGTAGTGAAAAAGGCACGGGTTTCAAGGGCTGTGCGCGTGTTTGAAGGAGAGAGAGAAAAATAATGCGATGGCTCCTAGCATGATCATCATCTCCTCCCATCATCCCTTCCCGTGCAGCACACACACTCCCGCCCTCCTTCTAGCACAGCCTGCCACGCCTTGTAGTACCGCACTCCGCACCCAGAGAAAGTCTGCCCTCAGGAGATCATCCCCCCCCCACCTCGCCTGGTGGCGGCTAGGCAAGGCGCGCTCCGAAACCCCATCCCTTTCCAGCTTTCGCAGGCACCGGGCCTCCCTCTTTCAGGCTCTGGTAACGTCACTGGAAAGAAGCGGCAGAGCCTCTGCTTCGCTTCGCCTGGGCATCCTCAGAGGCAGCACCTACCTGAAGCCGCCGTCGCCAAAATTCCTTCCCGCCGTCCGTCCGTCCGCCCACCCACCCAACCTGCTTTCCGCTCCCTCTGTCCTTCTGCCGAGGGGTGAAGTTGGGGGCGACTCACTCCCCCACCAGACAGACACACTGTATATGGGAGGAACCGCGGGGGAAGTTCTCTTCCCTGGGGGGGTTTCCTCACCCACATCGCCCACGCCCACGTCCCTTCCACCCAGGCTGCTGGGCACGGTACCTCTTTCCTCCTGCTAGGCGCCCCCGGGCGCGTGAGGAGAGCCGTCTCCTCGCACACGACGGCCACGTCCTCGACGAAGACGCAGTCGGGCAGGCTCTCGTCGGCGGGCAGCTCGAGCACCTGCAGCCCCAGCTTGCTCTTCAGCACCCCGACGTAGAGCTGGTGCTCGCGCTCGGCGCGCGCGAAGTCCACCTCCTTCGCCTGGTCTCGCCTCAGCGCGTGCTGGCACAGGGACTCGGGCAGAGCCCGCACCACCGCGTGGCTGCAACGCCCGAAGCCGGAGATGCCGCTGCTCAGCCCTGCCATGTTTGACAGAAGGGCGGCGAGGAGGAAGAGGAGGAAGAGGGGAACGAAGGGCAGCCAGAAGCAAGCGCAGGAGAAGGCACCACCGGGTCCCGCGCCCGCCTTTCTCGTCTGGCTCCGCGAGCGCACCCGAAGCCCCAGCTAGCTAGCTGCCAAGCTTCCCCTCCTCTTCCCCGCTCGCACTCTTCCCAGCACCCGCTGAAGCGTCCTCCTCCTCCGCCCCCCCGCCGCCCCACCCGCTTCAGAACAGGAGGAGGTGGGCGCACGCAGAAAGCCGAAGCCGCTTCGGATTGGCCACGCACCACCACCGAAGGCTTCCTCGCAGAAGACCCGCGCTCTAGGGAGCGCCCATTGGCCGGCTCCTCTGGCCAGGGAATTCAATTGGTCGAAGCCGGCAACGTTCCGGTGCAAGTTACCTGTGCACCCCTTTGCAACCTTGGAGATGGTCAAGCGACTGCACCTGTCCCAGTGACTAGTCCTTTGCACCACCGGCATGGGTGGCCGACGAGATCTGAGTGCATATACCCGATGAAGGGGGGGGGGAGGATTCCAAAATTCAGAGAATTCTGTTTAAAGTTTTCAAGACTCTCTTAGGTTCAATCTTCCTCCTAGTCTGGGAACAGACTAGTAGTGTCCCCCACCGCACCCCAATCCAGCCGCCCCAGAACTGAACACAGTTTGACTAGAAACTATGACGACTCCTTACTGTGTAAGGATACAGTACTAAAAACTTGTATAATACTTATTTTTTTAATGTATACAAGTCCCTTTTTTGGGAGAAAGGCAGCCTATTAATTAGACAAATAGATAACTAAAATAAATATTTATCCCAATATAGTAGATGAAAGGGACACCTCAACAACTGTTCTTCTATTCAAATGAACAGTTGTGGGAAAACAGATGAGGTGAATATTGGAAAGGGTAAGAGAGAGGGAACCGACTGTCAAGAATGTTTCAGAAATTAATTTTGTCAACATTCTTGGATGTTTGTTTTTACCTCACCTTTCTCCTCGAAAAGGACCCAAGGCAGCTTATGTTACTGCATAAGTGGAGTTGGGAGGGGTGGGAATTTGATGGCACAGTCCCAGGATACCCCCAGAAGAAGGGAATGGTAAACCACTTCTGCGTACTCTCTACCTAGAAAACCCTGAAAAGAGTCAAATTTCGCTCCATAACACGCACCTTTCCATAAGACGCACCAATTTTTTTGGAGAAGAAAACAGGAAAATATAATCTGTTTTCTTCGCTCCATAAGACGCACAGACTTTCCACCCCCCTGTTTTGTGGGGGAAAAGTGTGTCTTATGGTGCGAAAAATACGGTAACTACAGATAATTAAATAGATACCCAATGTGCAATCGTGGACAGATTGATGGACTAGGATTCGGGAGGCCTGAGTTTGAATTCATGCCCAACCATTGAAGCTCACTCGGGATGTGGAACTAGTAAAAACACTCCATAAATATCTCTCTTACTTTGAAAATCCCTTTAGGGCTGCTGTAAGTAACTTCCAACTTCATGGCACATAACAAATAGTGTAGGGACTACAATAATAATAGTCAAATGCTGTCAAATCGATTTCCACTTACAGCATCCCTTTCAAGAGTTTTCCCATAGTAATAATCATGAACCATCAAGTCAGTTCTAACATGGTGACCCTTTTTCAGACATTTTCCAGGTAAAGTATACTCAGAAGTGGTTTACAGTTCCCTTCTTCTGAGGGTGTCCTGGGACTGTGCAACTTGCTGAAGGCCACACATGCATCATGTCTTGATTACTGCAATGTGCTGTACATGAGGCTACCCTTGAAGGGTGCCTAGAATCTTCAATTGGTGCAGCATGGCGAAACTAGGTGGCTAATTAGTATACAGTATCATGATCATATGATCCAGTACCGAAAGATCTGACCTGATTGCCAATTGCCCATCAAGTCCAATTCAAGATGGTGGTTTGGGGCCTGGCTATTTAAGGGACTCATTGTCTCATTACAGTATGAGCCTGTCTGGACACTAAGATCTTAAGGAGAGGCCCTCTTAAAATACCAACAATTTCAGAGGCTCACCGAACAAGCATGCTGAAGAGGGCCACCTTCCGTGTGGCTCCCATATTGTGAAATGCGCTATTGAAAAATAGTATAGAAATACCTTGAATAAATTATAATAATACAGTTTCCTATAGCTAATATAAATTAACTTGGCAGGAAAAAAACAGATTAAAAATTTCTTTACACAGTGTTATAGGTGCTGCATGCTGTACATAACTAAGTGAACGCTAAATCTGACAGTATATTTTTTACCTAATTGCAGAGTGGGGATGATATCCTTTTGGACTGCAACTTTTGTCATCACCAATCAGTATGGCCAGTGCTGGCTAAAATGTTACTTTCCCAAGCTTTACTATTATGCCTTTGCGAATACCACACAAGATTCTCTGCCAGGGGACAGAGATTTGTCATCTGAAATTGTTTTAATGGGACACAATTGTTGGGAATGTCACAATAGTTGGTTTTCTTCTGTACCACCCCATGAGGATGCCAACTATCTCCTGAACTCTATGGACCTATGCTTGCAGGCATCTTGCCTACACCTCTGTATATCTGTCTGTTTGCTTCCATTAAGGGAGGGCACTAGGATGCTTAGATCAGAAGGATCTACCCTTCCATACACGCATATTCTCCACAGCGTACATGGTAATGTAATGACTGCACCGCGTGAACAACCTCTTCCATGGCTGGCCCTATCAATAGGCAGAGGGAAGAAGTCACCTCGGGCAGCAGTTTTTGAATGTTATGAGAAGGCAAAAAATTCTTATTTATTTCATTTGCTATTACTGTAGTTTTTTTTTTAAAACTGCCAGGAAATGGGAGAGGTGTTTAAAGGATTTTCTGCCTCATGTGCCAAAACAGCTTGGCTGGATTTGGGTTCCATGGCAGGGGAATAGCATCTGCTACACTGTCTTGGCCAGCAAAATGTCTTGGGGGTGTGTGTGTACCCTGACTATTTTTGTCTGTCTTGAAACCGATGCAATCAAACCCACTGTAACTGGACAACTGGGGAAGTCCTAATGTGCTTTAGGAAAGGAAATAACTTCTCTTGATAAGCTGCTCAATGGGAGTTAATAATTTCCTACGTTTTTATTATCCCTCCCTATCTTCTCCCTTTGTTTTGCTATAATAAAAATCAGTCCCAAATCCTACGGCTTTCTTCAGAAAAAAAGATGTGTTAATGCTTGATTATTTCAGTTACCTTGTGACACTTCCCCACCCCCACCCCAGCTTTTACGTATATTTGTTTTGATTTGGTGAGCAGAGAACATTACACCCATGAACAAACATAATGTTACCCTGAACTCCCCAAGTTGACTGACATACAGCTGTCAGCTAGGTCATTGCTAACTACCTGGTAAATATTTTCACAACTTTCTATAATGCCTAATGTTTTATTTTTGCTCTCTTTCCTAAGTATTTGTGAGTCTCAATTAACCTTTCTCACTGCAGCCGCAATACAACTTGACAATGTCAGTTGGCTTTCTGGTACAACTCTTAATGAAACAGATTTCACCTGACACATAAGGAAAAGGTAATATTTACTCCTTTGAACAGCTTGGAAAATGTTGATTTATTTCCTGCAAGTGTCTACTGACTAATCCCAGTAAAATACCCTACACAGTAAATCTAACCTTTTCTTCAGGAAACATAGTTAGGAAAAACCTAGTTGAAAGCACTATGCCAGCCAACTCTGAAACACTACTTTGTTTGTATTTGCTTGCCATGACAAATATGAATGTCTAGCAGTCAGTATGAGTTGGATTTGGTCACTTGGTAAGAGGTGGAATCAGAGCTATGTTATTATTTACCTAAAATATGTATATCCTACTTCATTCTGCAGTGTGCTATGGCTCAGCAATGGCTGAAATCCTGTTGAATTCCCACACAAAAGGGATAACTTTAGAGCTGTGTTGCCTTAAGATAAGAAATCTTTATAGAAATTATCTGTTACATACCAGGTTGTGTGTGTCAGTACACAACAGACAATATCTATGGAGATTTCTTAACCTGGGGCAATTGGCCTACAAAAATTATGCCTTTTAGGTAGCATAGCAATACGGCTTCTGCTAAAAAGTGTCAGGTAGTGCCTAGTATAGTCACTGGGGTAGAAGGCACATAAGATAGGTTAACAAAGTCCAGAATGGCAGGAGAGCAAAGGGCCAAAGTGAATATTCTTTGGAGCACACAGGTGGAAAACATCCTCTGGCTATGGTAAGCAGACAGATAAGAGTGGGATAGCTTGGGACACCTAAGTGGAGGGACAATGTCCAACAGACTAACCACCACTGCCTACAACTATAGTCAAGACAACAGCAACCAGTACTAAGAAAAGCAGAATTACAACCTCAGTTTTGAAATTCCATAACTGCACAGCCGCCAAAAGAAAACTTTTGTTCCTTGATCAGCGTGGCCATACACAAGACCTCCTGGGCTGAGGAGTTCATGGTGGTGCACCTGGGTTATTTAACATAATTCTTATGCAACTCTATGAGCTAGGTTAAGCTGAGACATGCTAAAATAGTACATCATGATAAACTATGGGTTAGCACAGATTTCTCCAAACTGCTGCCCTTCACAGGATTTGCACCACTGGTGCTATCATCACTTAACACTTGCCATATTGGCTAAGGCTCATGGCAGTTATAGTCTAAGACTGCTAGAGGGCAGCAGGTTGGGGAAGCTTGTTTAGTTAGACATGAACAATGCTAGCTTTGTCCTGAACTTGAAGATTCTTGCCTGTTCACTTTTGCTTATGGTTAATCATGTCATCTTGAACTGTGGTGAACATCCATTAAACAAGTCAGCTTGAGAAACTATGGTTTGATGTTTACTTGTTTGAAATTAACCATAAGTCATGTTAACTGTGCCTCATTGGGATTAGGTAAGATGGCCAATGGCATGCTTCTGTTGTGAAATGAAACATGTGGCATATCAATACGTTCAAAATGCAGTTGAAAACCATTTTCAGGTTTCCTGATATGACTATATACATAGGGCTAACTCCGATTATTATTTCCAACTGAGTAAACCACAAGAATCAGTGGAGTTTGTTGACATAAATGAGTATTGCCAATTAATCAGATTTAAGTGTAGTTCTATTAATTTGACTGATTACTTTATTAAAGCCTGTTTTGCTTCCAGAGTAAAAATAATTGGACTTACTTATCTGTTAATATGTTTTAATCCAGGGTTCTTTGTAAGAGTCAGTTCTAAATATTTTCATAGTATGTAGCCATGTTTTTCCTATAACA